GCCTCCTGTGACCCCCCAGCCCCGCAGACAGAGGCGGCAACTGGGTGCTGAGGGTGGGCAGGACGGGTGCGCGCTGAGGAATCCCATCCACTCTGTGCACAAAGGGACTAAAGAGGGGTGCAGGGCTGCAGGGGTTTGGTCACTGGGACCAGACTGGAACTGGTGAAAGGCAGGGGCCCGTGTCCCATCTTCCCTGAACCTCATCCATAGTACCTGCTGTCTGGTGGGAGTTTGTCCATCTCCTCTGGGCTGCTGCTCTCCCTGCATCGCTTCATCAGCACAAGGAATTTCTCCCATGAGCAAATCCTTCCCGGCCCCTGCTGTCTGCCCAGGGGAGAGTTGCATGTGTCCCCACCACCCTGATCTCTCTGTAGCTGCCTGACCTTGTGCCCAGTGCAAGTGCCCCCAAGAGAGGAGCTGGATAGAGAATGGGGTTTCCTCTGGGCCTAGCTGGCCCTGTGCACCCAGCTGGCCATGCAGAGCAACAGGGTGGTCAAAGCCACTTACAGTACAGGGTCTTGGACACCTGGACCAATGGTTGGAGCAGGAGTGGGAGTGGGGAAGTGGAGCACCCTCGTTGCACATGCTGAGCCTGTGTTCCTCGCAGGAGCTGGTGAGGGGGCTGGTGAGGGGCCTGCTGGGGAGCGTGGCCCTGCAGGGAAAGGCTGGGGCCCAGGCAGCCCAGGGCTTTGGGGAAAGAGATGTGTTTTTTGTACTTCACAGCCTTCATGGAGTGAACTGCAGACACCCCGCTCCCCCCAGCAGGACACTCACTTGCAGGAGACAGGAGGAGCAAGGACTTCTGCAGGGACATCCCAGGGTCACATCCAGCTGAGGAGCCCCTGGCTTGGCCTGGCCCCATGATTTTCCAGTCCCTGTCCAGGACTCAGGCACCCCAGCGGGGCTCAGCAGGGATATTCCCCCTGTGAGTCACCACTGCACCCTGTGCACCAGCAGGCTTTGGTTTTTATCTCCACTCCTGGGAGGACATTGGGGTTTTGTGGGTTTGAACAGGAAAGTAACTGAACATGGGCTCATAACCCGGTGCTGAGAAGGGAGGTTACTCTCTCTAGGTTACTGCGGGGCAGGGGGCTTGAGTGGGGCAGCGTTGGCAGGTTCAGGTCTGGAGGAGGAGCAGGGCAAGGGGGTCCCTGTGCACCCAGCACTGGGGAAACCCCCTGCCAGAGTCCGGCACTTGTGAACCCCTTGACCACAATGTGGAGTCTAGAGAGCACCCGTGTGGTGTTTGAGCTGAAGGGACACTGGTGCCCCCAGCAGAGGAGCGTCTCTCCCCAGTGCCGGGAGCCCCAGGACAAGGATACAGCAGCAGAAATCAGACAAGAGTCCAGCCTTGGGATCTCCTGGCAGCAGATCTACTTGGTAACGGGTGACAAAATACCTCTGGTGCATGTGATTGGTGCAGGCTCAGAGCAGGGACCACACCCCCGGGAAAGTCCCTGACCCAGTCTGAGCCCTGGTTCCCCATTTCCTCCCCTATCTCCCCCGTCCCAGGTTCCTGGGAGCATGGACAGGGAACCAGACCCTGGAGAGCCCCTGGCGCCAACCCAGCGTGGGGGCAGGGAGCAGCTCCCAGATCCTCAAAGCCACGTATTTGGAAGCAGCCCTCAGCCTGGGAATGTGCCCGGGGTGGTGATAGGGTGGCCATTCACCCTTTTTTATAGAGCACAGGCCTGTTTTCTGCTACTCTGTCCTCTGTTGATACAAAACTAGATGCCTCTATGTCCTTTATTTTTCTCTTGGGGCACCCAACCTTTCAACGCACAATTGAACTTTAGATTGCTTTCATTGGTTAATATAGTTGACATTTATTTAATTCCATGTTTGTATTGGTCCTGGGAATGCCAACAAAGCTCCTATTTGTCATGCTTCCTAATGGGGTCCTTACGTTATGGCTGTTGCTTGCTGCCATGAAACGTTTGTCTTCAAAATCAGTTTGACATCACCCTTAATTCAAAATGCCCAAGCAAAAGACGTGGTTATTATGAGTTAGCACTGAATTCAGTCCAAAAAAAAATGACTATGCACTAAATATAACTGTCTTCTATTCTTGAGGTACCTCGATGGCCACCCTAGCGGTGAATCCAAATCAGAGCAGCTCAGCAAGCCTTGTCTGGAGCAAGCTGCAGAGGAAGGCTTGGTAGTAGAGCCCATTCCCTGCCTACATTTGCCTTGTGAGACAGTAGCTGGCACAGCCAAGAGCTTGCACACTGCTATGGGGGCTCTAAGGGGACCATTTTCTAAGGCTTAATGCAGCTGTTGAAGTCACTGGCATGGGAACAGCAGTTTAAAATGGGAGGATGTGACTGAAAGCTGGGGTTTGCTCAAAGGCATCTTTCTGGGTGCCTCAAAACCACAATGCAACAGAGGTGAGAAAGTGAGGCATAGCCTGGCAGTGTTAAATGCAGAGATAAAATAAACCTCTAAGTCTAGGCACAGAAGTCGCATTGGTACCTGGGTAAGTTGTGCCTGGGTTTGTCCTGGGATAAAAAATATCCTGGACTGACATGTACTCACTTCACTCATGTAATCAGGGTTTAGTGAATAGCTGAATGCAGTGCTGCTTTTCAGTCATTGATTTAATGATTTCATCCCAGAATAACCGTACAGATGCACTTGGCAATATCCTGGGATAAATGTTACTACCTCTTATCCAAGAAACTTTGTTAGGATTTATCCTGGGCAGTGGACATGGACATCTGCAGGCTTGCAGTTTGTCCCAGGACAATACAGTTTATCCCAGTTAGATAAATGTAATCTGTTTGCAACCTAAGAGGATGGCAGGGAAGGGAAGTGGCAACAAATGTAAATTAAAGAGCCCCAAAATGCCAATCTGGGCAGCAGCAGGTATATGATGTCTCTGGGAGAGATGGCTGCTTAAAGCCAGAGCTCTAGGGAGAATCCAACACAATGCAAAGGCCTTGGTTCTTCCTTTTAGACTCAGAAACATTTTCCCCTAAATGTTAGAGAGTAGCCACACATAAAGAAGACTGATATACGAGAAGGTTTCTCCTCCAAAGGAGATCACAGGAAAAAATTGTGAAGCAACAAGCTGTCTCTGGGCACATCTACCCGTACAATCAATGTACATGAATAAACTCCAGAACTTATTGCTCTGGAGCATTTTGCTCGTGGGTGTGCCAGTTGAATGTGTGCAGCACACTGGAGTTCAGTCGGAGCAACCTGGGCATGAAGGGGACCCAGGGGGCAGCCTGCCAGCCAAGGCTGCTCTGACCGGGCTCCATGTGCAGCAGGGAGGGGGCTGGCCGAGGCAGGAGGGTGCTTCAGTATGGAGCTAGTTGGCAGCCCCATCCTGAAGCATCCTCCTGCCTCAGCCGGCCCTGTCACCATCTACATGTGCACTCTGGCATATGAAACCAGGCCGTCCCAGGGTAGTTACTGTGTTTAGCAGGACTACCCTGCAGCAGTATTTATTAGTCTACTGAGACCTAACAGTGTTGCACATGTAGACGGGGCCATTTTACTGGACAGCGAACAGTGCGCTGCGCAAGAAACATCTTGTGTAGACTGCCCGAAGTATCACCAGTGATGCACAGCATCTAAGGTGCCCCGTCCATCTCAGCAGCCCTGGGACTGACTTCACTTGTCTCGACTTAGAGAAGAAAAATGAAACACAGCAGAAGGGGCTACACCTTTGCACTTCTGTTTACCCCAAAAGACAACAGCACACCACAAAGGATACGGCAAAAGGAGTTCAGAGTCTCAGCAGACCAAAGCTGCTAGAGAAC